TATGGGGATTATGGTGCAATTCTATATGAGAGGTGAGGACTGCAGTGTATACCCTATTTCTATAGTTTCATGGGTTATATAACAAGGAGGATCAGATATGTGGCAAGTGAATTTGTGTTGAGTGGGAAAAACACAAAGTAAATTTAGACGGTACAGGATTACTTAGTCCAATTTGAACAACTAGTTGGGTTAGTGGGCTTAGTAATTGTCATTGCCACTTTGCATGTCATAATCATTAATCCAAGTTAGTGATTTATTATTGATCATTCTTCATTATCTCTTGTCATCCTCCTAGAGGGCAATATTTCTGTGTACATGATGGTGAATAGACTTGTTCATGGGCCGGGCTGGGCCGGGCTCGGGCCAGGTTTTGACTCTTTATAAATAGAAAAATGTTAGGCCCGAGCCCGAGCCCAGCCCGACCAACGGGCCTACAACTTGGGCCCGAGCCCGGTCCTGATAAAAAGCCCGAAGTCCGAGCCCGAGCTCGAAGCCCGACCTAATAAAAGAAATTCAAAATTTTCAATATTCAAATAGACATTATATATTTTAGTTCAGATATTTTTCCCCCTATTTAAATGAACAATGAGCCTACAAGTGAATCAACAACCTTCTCAAATAAAAAAAATTATTCAAATGGACATCACATAGGGTTTTTACTTAGGTTTAACTATAGGTCGGGCCGGGCTATTTTGGCAAAGCCCAAGCCCGGTTCAAATTTTATGCGGGCCGGGCTTTTTGGCCCAAGGTTAAGCCCGCGGGCCAAAAAGCCTATTCAAGCCCGTCCAGGGGTCGAGCCGGGCCGGGCCGGCCCGTCGGGCCACCCGGCCCATGAACAGGTCTATTGGTGAAATAACAACTTCCCTTTTTTTGGCCTTGCAATTTTATAGTGTTTAATAGAAATTGATGATGAGTTTCTTTGTCCTATAAAACAAGAAATGGTAGATGATTTGGGGAAAAAACTTAAAAAAAATAAATAAGTTATGCTAATCTTTCACCTCATTAAAGTGTAATTTTGATGGGTGTTGCCTTGGGAACCCTAGACCCTTAGGGGTGGGGGTGTTGTGAGAGATCAACATGGTAATATCCTTCTTAGTTTCATAGGCCCAACAAGGTAGGGTCATTCTTTATGGGCATAATTGGTTATTGCAGCACTGGTGGAAAGATGTGATTATTAAAGCGGACTATCGAACTCTAATTTATTGGATGAAAGCTAAAGATCAATTACCTTGGGAGTTTAGGTATTTGGTGAGGGGAGCAATAGCAATGGAACTTCATTGAATGTCTCATTCAATTGGGTTCCTAGGTCTGCAAATGTGTTGATAGACTCCTTAGAAAGATAGGGTGGGGAAAGAGTTTTTAGTTTGGGTTTACCTAAATCCGAGCTGTAATTTATAATCTTAATATGCTAGAATGTTGCTTTGTAGTGGTGACTATAATCCTTCATTCCTTTGTAATCCGTCTTTCAGACTCTATTGCTCTTTTAGAGTAGTTGGAACTTCTTTTAATATATATTCAAAAAAAAAAAAAAAGAATGTGGAAGAATTCAAAATAATCATAAAGCAACTACTTACCTTTTTTCATATTAAAGGAAAAAGAAAGAGTTAAATCTATTGTGTTATATATCAAACTTTTCTTTCTTTTATGGGTATGATTGGTGTGATTCCAATATATATGATAGGTTAGTTGTGGAAGGAGTAAGGACATTTAAGTTCATAAGAAAAAAAAGAAAAGAAATGGGGTGGTTTAAAACATGGGATAAAAGGTCCTACTTTGTTATTATAAATATGTTTGATTAGATGAAATTCCAATTTTTATGTTATGGAATGTGATTACTACACGGATGAACCTAATCCGGATTGTGATGTTGAAACTGCATTACAAACCTATTATGAATAGACAATTAGATGAATTTCTAAGTCCAACTTTTATGTTATGGAATGTGATTATTACAAGGACAGACCCAATCCACAATACTGATCACCTGTATGGAAATGCTTCAAATGAAATTCTGAATCCACATGTGGATAATGCAAATGCTTCAAACTTAATTTTGTCTTGTAATCCAATGACAAGATTAATCAGGACCCCATTAATGTATTATGTGGTTGAGATAAGGGACAAATGAAATAACCATTTGCCTTAGTTATATGTGATTAATCTATATTATGATGTTTCTAACAACACTGGATCAGTTATATGCAACGCCATTTTTTTTGCCATTAATGTATTATCTATTTTGAACAGTTAAATGAATTACCATTTACCTTAGTTATATGCAGTTTGAACATTTCAAGCAAAACCTTATGCCACTTTCTACAATTTGAACATTCTAACCAAAGTGAAGAAATTATAACCTTTATCGGTTTAAACCATGTTCCAAGAAATTACACATCTTTGATAATTTCTTGAAAATTTCGATAATTCAAAATTAAATTACAAATAGGTACCATGTACTTAGGGAGTAGTGAAAGATAGGTACCCTGAACACTTGAATACTCTGAACTCTCAAAAATATACACTTGGGTCCATCCGTTAGTATTCCGTCAATTAAACATTATATAATACCAAAACTATCCTTCTTTCAGTTAAACTTTTATGGTCTAACTAATACCATATAGGTTATTAAATTAGTGAAGGGACTAGCCACTTTTCCCCACGATGACTAATATCGTATATGGTATTAATCAAACTATACAAATTTAATAGATGGAAGGGTAGTTTTGCCATTATGTGATGTTTAACTGACCATAGTTTTCAAAGCGTCTAGGCGATTTTGGGTGACACTAGGGCGCCTAGTCGCCTAGGCGATAAAACTTTTGTAATATGAAAAACTGACTTTTGGCTAGTTTCCTAGTTTTATATACCATTCACCATGTATGTTAATTGAAAAATAACAATTCTCTTTATTAAGAACAATAAATTTCCTCTAAAAAATGTGACAAATCATCACATCTAAAAGATAAAAATCTTTTACATATATTAATTTCATTATTTTCAAAAATAATACTACTATAATAAGTATTTAATAGAGCAAATTCATATTAATTAGCAGCTAAAGAAGGCTATTAACTTTATATGATAAATATTAAAGATGGAGAGTAAAATAGAAAAAAAAAAGGGATTGAGTTTCTATTTTATTTAATTAGAGAGAGAATAGAAAAAAATAACTTAATTATTCTATTGTTACTTTCCCTTTCTTTTCTTTTCTTTCTTTTTTTCTTTTTCTCTTCTCAAAACCCTTTGATCTTTTAAATTTCAATAGTAAAATATTAAAACAAAATATAATTGATACATATAGCATATAACAAAATGTACTAACACATACATTAATAAGATACATCAATATAAATGATATTATAAAAGGCGCCCACCTTGTCATCTTGTCGCCTAGGTGGGCGCCTAGTCGCTAAAAGTCAAGGCGTTTGGGCAAGGCACCCAACCAAGGGCACCTAGTTGCCTAGGCGACGCCTTGACAACTATGTAACTGACAAAATACTAATGGATGGACCTAAGTGTCGATTTTTAAGAGTTCAAGGTACTCAAGTGTTGTAATAAAAAGTTTAGGGTACTTATCTATCACCATTCCCAAAGTACAAGGTACCTATATATAATTCACCATTAATTCAACACCACAAAAAAAATATGTTTTAATTAGATGCAATAGTAGGAAACTGGCGCAAATGACTAAGGAATTATCTGCTATAAGTTTTAGTAATATTCCTTGGCAAATAGCATCCCTACTAAGGCATCAGAAATTGACAGTGGTAATGCCCCAAGTGTATAAAAAAAACAAATGACCATGGAATTATCTGCTATACAGAAAGACACATACATAGGCTATCTAATCAATCAAGAGTAAACATGCCAGTATTCCATACACCTGAGGCCAAGCTGAAGTGAAAAAAAATAATAAAAAGAAGAGCATTACCTTAGATTTAGACCTATTCATGGACCAGGTTTAGGCCTTGACAGAAGGCAGAGCCCAAAGCAGTGTAAAATATTCATGACTGAGCCCAAAGCCCAATGTGAACAGATCTAATTAAGAAAATGTATGGCTTGAAGGACTGAAGGTTGAAGTCCATTTTTAGCCATACCATTTGCTATATTTAAAAACATAGTTCAAGTTAATTCATTTAATCCTCCCTAAATAATTAGATATGTTAAATCTATGCTATTATCAACAATCAGTGTGGATGTCGCAAGGTGCCACCCAGCTAGTTGGCAAGGTCTCCTGCTGGTTGTAGCAGAGACTTTGGGATCAAATCCCGCCTGTACCTGGGTTGGGAGATGAGCTACCACCGTTGTGTAGCCCTTCAAAAAGATATCAAAAAACAAAACTAGTTTGGGTCTCATCATACCATTCAATCAAATGAAAAATAACCATCTGAGGCGGAAAAAAAAGAACAATTAACCTGGTAGAATCCTTGTTCCACGAGTCTACCGTATCCAATATCATAGCAGATTCTCAACTCTACTCAGCAATGCTTTATCCCAAACATATGATTTCACACAATTTGTTCTGTTATTCCAGCTTAATCAATTTCATTTTGACCCTCAAATCATTTTTCACTACTTCAATCTACATACCTTTGCATTTCCAATATGCAATTGTCTTGGCTTGCCACTGGACCAGCTTGACTTGATCAGAATCAATTTGTTCCAACATGCGGRGGTGCAACTTAAGCCAGGTTAGGGTTGGAAAATATGAACCTAGCTTTGACTTCGGAATGGTTGAAAAATATACTCGCATGCCTATGAACTGTCCACACTTTCCAGATTTAAATATTAACTTGATTATTTTAAGAAATTAGAATCTATCTAGATCAATAAGGATTGATCACCTCAGGCAATCGAATGAAGTTCACTTTCGCTGCTCAGCAAAAATCTGCATATTTTCTGAAATGAAGTTGGAACTCTAATTCCAAATCATCGTTATAGATACCAATATTAAAAAGGAGTGCAAATAAACTTGTAAGTTTGYCACCATGTCTAGTGGATACTAGTGTAACATCTTTGCCTTGGAACAAATTGGGTAGAAGAAAGCCATGAAGATTTATTACAAGCACAATAAAATACAGACAGAAAACAGTATCTAACAACTGTTATAATGTTTACATGAACAAAGTGGTAAAACAGAATTACCTTTCTCTTTAGTCTACAATATGAAAATGTAGCATTTAAGAAACTTGAGACATGAGACTAATATGGGAACCCCCACCCAGCTCTAGAAAAAGTAAAGGGATAAAAATTAGGGCCTACGCCTTCTGTTTGTATCATAAAGAACGCATGCATCTGCTGCAGTCTTCATCTGAAACCATTAAAAAGATTAAATCACTCATCTACCAAAAAAAATAAAAGATTAAATCACTCCAAATTATGACAATTYATTCATTTAGAATAGGAGATAAAATAAAATCTGATCATAAATAAGACCTAGAGAGTTCATAGCTCATAGACTATACTAGGTCAGTAAGGCAGAAAGGATTCCGGATCATTGTTGTGCTCCGATCACCCATTAGATAAAGACACGTCATTCTACACCAGTAGAAGTCAGTTAAGATCGAGCTCACTTGCACGAGACTTTCACTAATATGGAAAATCTTGGGGAGGAGGTTACACAAGAAAGGAACAGCTTTATAGGGGGACATAGACTGAAGCAAGGCCTTCTTGGTCAATCTGGTCAGGCTGGCAAAATGTCTGATAATGGTGTGGTGGGCCACGTGGGCACCAGTAGGGAGGGAACAATTTTAAATGCTCAGACAAGTGGAAATAGGCCAGCTAATAAAGAGCTAGAAGCCCATTCACTAAACTTGGGACTGGTYCATTTCGAAAAAGGGGGGCCCACTTGAGTTGAAAAAAGAGAAGAACAAAGGATTTAATTGGGCCAAGCAACCGTCTTTTAAAGAGGCTTCAGCCTGCACCCTTTAAATGGGCCAAGCCCTTTGAAGGGGTCAACCAGGATGGTTCATTGCGTCCATCATCGTTCTCCACTCAAAACTTACCATAGACCAGGGACCAAGGGCAGGAGAGCTCTCTTTGTTAGGCACCTTCAGCGATTGTTAGATGAGTGTCTCTGGATTGCTGCAATCCTAAGAACAAGAAAACTCTAATGAACAAGCTTGTTGGAGGTTTGGAGGATTGCTTCTTGTTGAGCAAAGACAAGACCGAGTCAAATGATTCTGATGCCTCAAGTCTTGGCAGTGTTTTTTTGGAATATATCAGGGATTTCAAGAGGATGAAAGTCTTCATATAGAACAACTGTTCTAGGAGGAAGAGTCGGGGGTTCATAGGAAAGAAGGAATCTCCTTCAGCAGTGGTTTTGTTCACTGCTCCTTGGAATCAAAAGCTCCTTTGGAATTGCAACAATCGCATGGTCTCCCATTGACAATTCTCAACTCCCCTCAATGGGACTCCAGTTAAATATCTTCCTTTTGACTAGGGTCAAGTGCCTCCTACCCAGTTAGTTTAACTATCCCTAGTCTGTTGGAAACCGACTCCCTTGGACTGAATTCCAATCCAGTTGCTCAGTTGCACAGGCATCCTGCTGAAACCATATCTCCAGGTAGGTTTGTCAATAAGTTTAAGTCTACTAATGAGTTTCCTGTGCCTGTTTCAAAGACATTTCAGCCCCAACCCACGTCTGTAGGTGCCCACAAAGAGAAGTTAGGAGGGTTAGAAGGTGAGGCTGACACAAGGAAAGTGGAGGCTGGTTGCAGGAAACATGGAAAATGGATTTGGAATACGGTTTGTGAAACTTTTGAGAGCTTGTTAAATAATGAAGTGGGGAAAAACTTGTAGTTGAATTGGCAAGGGAGTTAGGTCTGAAGGTAAAAGAATTAAAGAGTGTCAAAGTTAATTCCAAGAAGAATGGGGACAAGGAAGCTCAAAGAAAGAGAGTTGATGGGTGTTGAAGAATAAAAGTAGCAGAAGATTCAGAATTTAGTGCAAGGGGGGGGGGGGTAAGAAGGACGACATACAAATAGAAGATAAGGTGGATTATGGATTAGGGGTTTGGACAGTGCTAGGAAGAGCAGGGTAATAAAAGATTTGTAGAGGAAGGAAAATCTGGATATCATGATGTTATAAGAAACATAAGTGGCAAAATAGAAAATGGGTGAGAAGTGTGTGAGGCTCTAGAGGCATAGGCTGGTCCTTTCTACCATCATGGGGGGCTTTTGGGGGTTTAATAATAATGTGGAGCGCGAGGTGCTTGAACCATTGGATGATGGATATACATGGGTGTTAACAAATGTCTATGGTCCCAACAGATGCAAAGAAAGGGGCATATGTGGGTAGAACTCTTTGATATCAAGAGATTCTGGAATGGATCATGGGGTTTAGGGAGACTTTAATGTAGTCAGATTTACAAATGAAACAAATAATCCTACTCAGATGGTCTCTACAAGAAGAGATTGCTACCCAACAGGAGATCTTCATTTTCAATTTGGCATGGGAAGAACATTGGTAGGGTTGATGACAAGAACTTTACCACGAGTTACTTCCAAGAATTGTCCACTTAATATTAAAACTAAGGATTTCTTGAGTGGCCCCAAACCTTTCAGATTTGAAAATATGTGGCTTATACACCCAGGCTTTATCTATAAGGAAGAAGAATAGTGGAATGAAGATGTTTCATAGAAAGATACAAAGAAGATCAAAGAGTGGAATAAAGAACACTTTAGAAGAATTAAGGAGAGCAAATTATGTGCAACTACCCAAATTGAGTAGTTGTAATGGATGGTCAGGGGTAACAGGGTCTTGAGATGGTCTTTGAAGAAAGATTTGGAAGAAATATTGTTGAGAAAAGAGATATTGGAGGCAAAAATCGAGGTACCAATGGATTAAGGAGGGGGATGGCAGTACCAAGGTGACATTTGGCACATCTTTTTGGCATGTCTTTTGATCTGTGGAAAGCTCAAAAGACCAACAAATAGTCTTTTCCCATTTGCTATCATGTAGACCGAAAGAATCAAAGACAAGCACACAAAGACCAAAAAAGCTGAAAATCGAGAAGCTTCAAAAGAAGCTTTCGTCTCCCCCGTAGGTTGAACCCTGTTTTGGGCTACTTTCTTGGCCTTGATTCCTAAGAAGGGAGAGGCATTTTTTTATGGATGAGAGAAAAATTTATTAATCACAAAGGTTAAGAGTTAAGCATCCCAAGGCACGAGATGCGACCTTTCTAGAAAAAACTAATTACGACTATTGAAACTCAACTAGAGCAAGTTACTAAGTATCCCAATAAAGAAATTCCCACGAAGCCCATTGTTTGGCTAATGAATCAGCCACAACATTTGCCGATTTGCTTACCCACTAAACACTATTCATATAGCTAGTTAGCTATTTCACTTTTTAGAGGTCTATATTGCTCCAAATCACAAATCCGAGTTCAAGAGCCACCCCACAACCACCTAAGAGTCAGATTCAATTTGTAAATGCTCCAGAAAAGCTGGTTTGCGACCTGGATCCCTTGTACAGCAGCTAGTATCTCTACCCTTGTAAAGTCTCCCACTCCCTACTGGTCCTGAAGATGAAGAGATAGTGCTGTTGTCCTTATTTCTTAAAACCCTTCTATACCCTAAGGTTCTGGATTACCCTGGCTACTCCCATCGAAGTTCAGCTTATGACACCCTCCAGAGGAGGTGCCCATTTGACCAAGCTTCTATTCTTCCTAGTAGAGGTATTAGCCACTACTAGCCAATTTCTACAAAGATCATCAAAGGAATAGTCAGCAAAGAAGTTTAAAGTTTTCAGCCAAAGGATTGCCCTTGTCAAAATACATTCATTCACTTCAAAGAACTTGCAAGAGAGCAGCTATGATACATTTTTACATTCTCCCGCTTCCTTGCATGCCACCCAAAAGTAGATGTGTGGCTACCCGAACAAGACGGATTAAACAACATACTTACATTAGATGGCAAGTTCCACCTACATCCAAACAAAACAAAGATCCAATTCTATAAAGCTGCACCAAAGGAACAAGAATGCACAAATTAGGTAAGGTCTCTCAATTTGCAAGTTCTCTAATGTATTGATCTTATCATAATAATCTTCCCAACTAAAAACAACAATTCTCCTTTTT